CTTTTTACCTTTGTGAACCTCAATCCATGTTTTGCAAATAAAGCATCCAGGACAGATATTAGACTTAAACAGATGTATACATCACATTAACAACGCCGACAAATCTTTCCTGAACAACTCCGACTTTGTCAACAAACCTCAAAACCACGGCCATTTGTTCTTTTCTAGAGACATCGCTAGACTCATCCACCAACAAAGCAAATACATCATCACCAATTTCCCCAATAATGGATTTTAACACTTCTTCTGCAAAGCAAGTAACAAGATCTTTTTGATTCTTTGGAGATGTCTTGTTTTTTGGGGCATTTTGTAATAAAACATTTTCAATATCACCATTTGTTCTTCTGATTAACTTTAAAGTCCCCAAGAAAAGCTCTTTATACATAGACTTTTTCGGCTCATCATTGCCACGAAATGGTAAAGTATTCTCCAACAAGTATCTACAAACTTCAACAGAAGCATTCAATCGCATGTGATACTCAGTCTTCATGAGTTTTGTTTGCTTATGAAGGGCAACAACAATTGATTGGTTTTGGTTAACCAAATCTTCACACTTATAAGTGCTTTATGGTGAAAACTATTAACCTCACCCTCATGAAGCGTAATTATAATATCCCGTATTTGGTAAATCTAATCTCTTGATCGAGAACCAATTTTATTTATGTGTGAAATCGTGCTTTAGTGTTTCATATCTTAGTCTTTAAGAGCCGTTTATTAGGTCTAGTTATTTTCATAAAAATTCATTTGAGTTCTAAGTTGGTTGAAACAATCTTGGTTAGGACCAAAATTGTAAAGGAAATTGCAAAGTATGAGTATATTGCAAATAAGCTTAAGATCAAAGGTTGGATAGTAAATATTGTAAATATATATATAGAAAATTGTTATTTTTTTTAAATCAGACTTGCTTCCTCTCTCTCTCTAACTCTACATCTCTCCTACCTCTCTAAAAAAATACCTCATCTCATCTCTATAAACCTAGGAATTTCTTGTTAAATCTTTGAGTTTTTGAAGAATTGATGTTATAATTGGAACTATGAACTCAAGATAAGGTATGTCTATAGTTTATTTTTGTGATTTTTTCTTCTTTAGGGCAATGGTTAAACCCTAAATTGATTCATGATTTATAGGTTAAAAATTGAAGATTGATGAAATTTCTTCAAGTTGGTGCTGTTAGAGGAGGCAGATTCATTTCTGTAAGTTTGAAAATTCATATAAAATTAGTCGTTTGTCCGATTGATGCTTTCTTTATATCGTTAGAAAGGTGTTTGAGTTATCTACAACTTTGTAGTTTACTGAGAAACCTAATTCGAAACATACATGTCTTGAAATCTCTGATTTTCCAGACCCTATCTGCAGCCACTTGAAATTGCACTCTGTTTGTATAAATTCTATATAAAATATACCAGAACTCCAAATTATATGAATCCAATTGGTATGAAATCCTAAGAGTTATATGTACAACTTTCATATTTATAAAGAAGTTTGGTTCAGCCTCTAAATGTGAGAAAAAGGCTTAAACTTTTGGTGTACAGAACCTGTTAGCTTCTGTTTGGATTGTGAAAATTGGATTTTAGCAAATGTTGTCTATGGTCCTAGGCATTGTTTATATGTTTACTAAGTGTCCTACTGGTATGTTAATCATGCTTGAAGGTCCATAAGGTTTAAAATTTTTGTGTACCTGAGAAATCTAAACCATTACCAGTACGTTTTAAGACTCATGATCGATTTTATATAAATTGGAACCTCAATGGTTTTATTAGACTTATTCTCAATTATTTGATTCTTGATTTGGTTATTTGAGTTTGAATTTATTGACTTAACTTTGAATAGGCTCAATACTCGGGCCACGGGTGTTGAGACGCCCCCATGATGGCTAAAATAGTCATGGCATTCTCATAAAGGCTACGGCCAAGCCAAATAGAGAATGTTGGATGCATCCTATGAACCGAATACCGAATAGCGCTGAATACCAATTATAATGGTTACTGGATAGAGCCGAATACCAATTATATTGGTTACCGGATAGAGCCGAATACCAGATACCTCTGGTTACCGGGGATGTGATGGTGTAGTGCCCTACACTTCCGTTCCATTACGACGTCTAATTAGACTGATCATCCATCGGGAACAATGTATCCTAATGATACGGATGACCTTCTTACCATGAATATTTTTTATTATATAACTTTCAATTTTCTAGAGATTTACACTTAAATTGATTTCACTTGTATCGTAATGTTTCCTTTCAGATATTTATTCATATTTGATATTCTTTCGCTATTATTCGTTCACTGGGCAATTTTTGATTAGTCGATGTTTGTTTTGTTTTACCTCGGCAGGTTTAGGATCTAACTTAGGGGCAGGATAAAGGGTCGAGATGGCTTAAGATTCTAAAAGATTAGCGAGTGAATATAGTGTTTTTGCTATGTTATTATGTGAATATGTTAGTGCTATGTAATATAATGGTTGTAATGTATTTTTTTGGGAGTTTCATTAGAGCTTCGTACTGTAAATGGTAGACTTTTGATCCGTTTTCGGTTGTGACATGTCTCATCTTAAATTTAGTAGGATGGGGTGTTACAGTAAGTCTGTCCTTTTTACTCCAAATATTGAATCCCTCCATCACAAATGCATCAGTCCTATGATTCCCTCCATCACAAATGCATCAGTCCCATGATTCCCACCTTGGTCTCTGAACAAGTAACAAAGAAATTAATATGCTCTATCTACTTTTACAATGTATTCCAACCATTGAAAGTGATCAAACCAAGTAACAACAAACCATCTTACTTTAGCCCCTATAACTTTGGTTGGAAAGTCGTGACCTCGTGGTTGACAAGGCCCCTTTACCAAGTATTTCCGTTTAATTTTATCTCTTTGATTTGGGTTATAAGTTATAATTTTGGGTCTCTCTGATGGATCCCAAGGAAAATTGTTAACATCAATCATATTGTTGTTGGATGCATTATTACCAGTTGATGAAGCTTTTCATTTCAATTTTTTTTCCATATCATGTTATCAACACTAAGTAATGAAGCAATGAACTGTAATATGTAAATAAAACAATAAATAAACTAACAAGAAAACAAAGACAAAAAGACCAAAGAATCAACATTTATCACAATTCACAAATTCACAGTGACACAATCAAGATCAAGATATCTAAAATTGTATTGATTAGTAATCAGTAACGTACAACTATAAAATGTAAAATTGTAAATTGATCAAGTCATCAAGACATCTAAAATGTAAAATTATATTGATATGTGATCAAGTAATCAAGACTTAAGACTTTTAAGAGTCATGAGTAATCTAATCAACATCATCAACTAAACTACAACTGATTACCAATGAACTAAATATAAAATTGTACTGATCAACTCATCAACAGATCAAGACATCAAGTAATCAAGATTCAAGAGTAAAAATGGATATCTAAATCTAAAAACAGAGACCAAACAGGCAAATAGCACTGTAGTAAACGAGTTGATCGAGTCTTAAGTGAGTTGATTCGTTCCTAGACCTGGTCGCACTCGAGAATCGTCCGGTTCATCCTTCGATTTTCGATTTTGTCTCGTCCGATTCCGCGATTCGCACTCGTCTCTCTCCCATTTGTTCCGTTGTTCATCTCGGTCTCGTCCCATACAATATACATCCACGGCTTTGTTTGGCCAGCTAAGGCCTTTGCATTTGGGCTGTAAAGTTTCAATTTGATGTACTTAGGCTTTAAAGTTTCAATTTATTTGGGTTTCTAATTTACAGAATTAGGCTTCCAATTTATTTGGGTTTAATTTAGAATTGGGTTTCCAATTTATTTGGGTTTCAGGAATAATACAGTAACATCTTCTAAAACGATATGGTTGCACCGTTCACGAACCTAAATTTTTTATTATTTGACGGAGGAATAATACAGTGGCACATGCCACCTATACCACCTAAACAGGTCTGTCCCTGGTTTTAGACACCAAAATAAAGTTTATGAAAGTTTGCTACTCAACATGAAAACCGAAATAAAAGGCGTTCTAATTTGATACAAATTGCTATTTTATCTATTAGAAGTATTGTATTACAATCAAAGCTCGTAATCTTCTAAAAGAAAAAGAAATAATTTCATATGAAGGTTCAACGAGATTTGGGGTTAAAGCTCAGTTACACATATGTTATAAACTTATAGGGACGTCAAATATGTTTCTATAGTCTTTTTTTTTCTTTGAAAGGGTGTTTTGGGATATGTCTAGACTAATCCCAATAAATTGTGATTGCAAGAAATTAGCACTGATAAACTTAGTGACCACAATTGTTTTAAATGCCTGGAATCGAACCATTACGCCACAACCCTTGTCGGTTGGGATACATGTTTCTAGAGTCTTGGAGGATGGAAAATACTACTATTAATGCAAACATGTATGACACTTGTTGTATTATGATAAAATCCTTTTAATACTGTCACGTAAAGGACGATTTTATAGACCATCGAATTAAATATTTGATTAAAGAAAAATCATATCAAGATGAGCTATGTCCACCAAGTGAGTTATAAGTTTGGTTTTTGTTTAAGTATATTTTTTTGTATTAAGTTTAGATCTTTAAAGATTCACTTTTATGTGACGTTTATTTATGATTTAAATGACTTAACATGTGGGATGATTTATTTGTCATACATACATATGCATTACTACAACTTCATCGGTAAATTAATAACTTTATTAACAAGTTATCTTATTTGACCACCGCTTCTTCTGAATCTTTTTAAGTTTCTACCATTTGTTGATTACGTATTTATATATGCATATAAATTTCATTAGTGGGATGACATATTGTATCCTCATATGTAATTTTATTTGGATTTCATATTTAATTTTATAAAAAGAAACCATGAGGAAGAAATGTTGAATTCAGAAAAGCCAAAGGACTTAATTTGGAAATAGTGAAACCGAGGGGGTACATATGTATCTAATTCCATCCCCAAAACCCCCGGTGCGGTGTACAGATCCCAAACCCCGATTCAATTTGTTTCGCCGAACCATATGGCAACAGCCGTCGCAGCTAGGTCCGCCTTCCGCTCCGCCTCCACCTTCACCACCCTCCGCACGGGGGCTTCTAGAATCGCCGCTGGTGCTAAATCCAATGCGACATCGCCGCCACGCTCTACCTTTCGCATCCCCTCACAAAACCCCCTTTCTCATCGCATTTTCAGGTTGTTACTATGATGCATCGATTACAATATTACTCGTCATGATGCAAATTTGATGTTGATTAAATAGCCTTTAACTGTTGATATCAAACCTAGTTCGATTCTAAATGCAAAATTGATATTATGAAGAGCTAAAGAAAATGAGGAATCTGTTTCGTGACTACAAATGGAGCTTCTTGATGTCCAACATATTTTTTCTAGTCAACTTGTCGTAAAGATTAATATAGTTAACATTTTCGTGTAAACGTAATCCTGACATTTGCTGTTTTAGTATGAATTATTTATTAGTAATAATGGATTATTATTTTGACTTAATGCTGTTCTTTTTGGATGTCAAATCACTTAAACTAGGTCACCAGTTGAGATGAGTTGTATGTCTGTAGAATCAATGTTTCCATTCCATACAGCTACTGCCTCTGCATTGCTGACCTCAATGCTTTCAGCTGCTCCGCGGACATGTGGTTGGACCCTTGAAGGTAATATTTGGTTTACTGAATTTGTTAACGTGACTGTCGTGCTATTCAATGTTTCAATTCTCATGTCTGCATTGTGACCGACGCTCATGGAACTATGTTCTATGGCTCTTGGAAATTGTTGAAGAAATCTTAAATATTACACGTGATGCAATTTATGTTCTTACTTGAATACAAAGTGGATAACTTAATAGAAGATGTTGATCAAGTTGATCTAAGCTGTCTTAATAAAGAGTGGGAGAGGATGTCCATCCTTCTAGCCAATGATTGAGTGATAGGAAAGATTCTTGAGATCAATTTAATATGAATTGTTGAATATCTAATGGTGTAGAGAAAATTGCCACTTCTCATTTACTTAGTTGTCTTTATATATTGTTACGATAATACAAAGGAGGTAGTTTTTATTAGAGAAATTTTTGGTTCTTAATACAAATGACTTAACTTCTAGAAGGTGTGATCAAGTTGAGCCAACCTATCTTAACTAATCATTAATGAAGGGTGTGGGGGCATGAATATCTGCCCTTCTAGCCAACGGGGGAGCAAGGGGAAGGTTTTTGTATCAATTTAATATAAAGGTTTGATGATACTTAAAGCACAGTATTAACAGGGGTTGTTTTTTGTATTCTTCTATACTTCGAACGACAATGTTTATAGATTGAAAGTAATAGGGCGAGCAGGATAAGGAGTATATGATATAATAATATCAGTTACAATAGTTGGTGTAACCTTTTGAAAGACTTAAGAACAATGTAAATTAAGTTATCCATAACTAACCTAAAACACTGGATGCAGCTTGGCTACAAGTTTGACAAAAATTCCATTATCTGATTCTGTCTTTATAGTCTATATCTTTAAATATGGGTAGTTGGTGTTGGGAAGTAATGTTTCCCAAAACGCCAAATATATGGGATTCATGTTAACACTATTTAGCAAAACTGGAATAGGTATAATGAGGTCAGACTAGGTTAAAGTTTAACTGGTTGCAAAATAAAATACGTTACCAACACAAACTAGATTTATATCAGGACTAAAATGAGCATGTTACTTTTTTTTTTTTCTGTGAGTACACGTTCTTGTATTATCTTTCTCGAATTGACTAGCCTTCTATGTCTCACAGTCTGACAAATTGGAGTGTGGATGACATAGGTTTTGGTTCTTTTTATTGAAAAATATAACCTTTGTTGCTGCTACTTGTTGTATTTCTTAACATCTTGTAGCTCTACTAAAGCATTGTTTTGATGTTATATGCAATCACTTTCTACCAATTGTGTTCCTTGACATTTGGATTCTTCTTTTTTCTGACCCTCCCTTTTTCTCTAGAACATTGGAACATGGATATGCTTTTCTCCTCTTGTAGGACCTGAGAGAACTAGATGAAGATCACCAACATTGGCCAAATTACATGGATTTCTTCTTCTTATGATGTTCTAAATGCTTGAGAGCATCTCCTTCCATAGATTAGATTGAGAAAGTTTTATCTTCCATGATCATTTGTGTTAGATGAGGAATACCTGAAGTTAATATTGTTGCAACATTTTTTGACCATAGGGACAGGATGATCATTAAGGTTATCCAAATCATCACATTTTTACTTTGAAATAGGCAAAACTCATTTTTGTCAATGTTGTTTTCTCATTTTGACATATCAGCCACTCATTTTATTTTTGATGATTGGTCATAGTCCTTCATTCTTAACTTTCTTTGCTATACCCTTTAATCAAGTACTTAAGTGCACTGAAATCCTGTACCTTGTTGTACACCTTGTCTTCCAACTTCTCATACACTTCATTTGCTTCCTCTGAATACAGTAAATGCAGTATATGTTAGAAATATTTACTAATTCAAACTCTTCTTAGTCAAACTTAGCTGTTAAATAAGACCAACAGGTAGTGGCTCCTAGTCTTAAGCTTTTTGAGAGTTTTTAGCTTTTTAGTTGTAGTTGGTTGCTTTCTCAGCCTATTTAAACAGGCTTCTGTTTCTTATTATATTGCATCAATAAAAATTAAGTTTCCAGCAATCTTGTTCTTCTTGCTATTTTCTCTTTATAATTTCCAACAAAGTGGTATCAGAGCCAGGTTCCTTCAGAGAACTGGGCGTTTGATTTCGCTGAAAATGGCAACAAGCTCAAGTACCCTCAACGTATCCCAGCCACAGATACCCATTTTCAAAGGGGAATCTTATGAATTCTGGAGCATTAAGATGAAGACCTTGTTTCTGTCACAAGATCTCTGGGAACTTGTTGAGTCTGGCTATGCAGAAGCCGGCGATGCAAAGGAAAATCAGAAACRTGATGCTAAGGCTCTCTTTTTCATTCAGCAGGCGGTGGACGAGAGCATATTTTCAAGAATWGCTGCAGCTACAACCTCGAAACAAGCATGGTCAATCCTTAAAACAGAATATCAAGGATCTACGAAGGTAATTACAGTCAAACTTCAGTCGTTGAGACGAGAGTTCGAAACTTTCGTCATGAATAACAAAGAATCGGTTCAAGCTTATTTGGGAAGAGTCTCTGCAGTAGTGARCCAGATGAGATCATATGGAGAGAARATCACTGATGAAATCGTGGTGGCTAAGGTTTTAAGGAGTTTGACTCCTAACTTTGATCATGTAGTTGCTGCTATCGAAGAATCGAAAGATTTGTCAACGTTTTCTTTCGATGAGCTAATGGGATCCCTTCAAGCGCATGAAGCAAGAATTAACAGGTCATCGGCAAGAGACGAAGAGAAGGCTTTTCACACAAAGGGGGAGCCAGAATCCTCTGATCGCATGCGAGGAAACTATCGGAGCCGAGGTAGAGGAAGCTATCGAGGTCGAGGCAGAGGCCGAAACAGAAATGTCAACACTTATGTACAATGCTCACACTGCAACAAATATGGGCATTGTGATAAAGATTGCTGGTACAAACCGGAGGAGGCTAAGTTCACAGAAGAATATGGTGACGACGCGTTCCTCTTCATGGCATCCTCGAACCCTAAAGAGTCAAGCAAAGAAGTATGGTACATTGACAGCGGGTGTTCGAATCACATGACTAGCGACCTACAAAAGTTTAAAGAACTTGATGAGTCGATACAATCACAAGTTCGACTTGGAGATGATAAAGCACTTCAGATTGAAGGACGAGGAACGACAATGGTGACGAAAGGTAACAAAACTAAGCTCATTAAAGACGTTCACTTTGCACCTTCTTAAGCTCATAATTTAATAAGCGTGGGACAACTGCTGGAATATGGATGTTCGGTACTATTTGAAGATTACAAATGTGTTGTAAAAGAGAAAGCAACAGGTAACATTATTGCAAGTTCTGACATGACACAAAATAGAATGTTCCCACTTAACTTCTCTGAGCTTACAGAAGTTGCATTAGTTAACAAAGCATATGCAGACAATGAGCTTTGGCACCTCAGATACTGTCATCTTAACATCACTGGTCTTCAATTGCTGAAAAATAAAGACATGGTTCAAGATCTTCCAAACATCGCATCGCTCGACAGAGTCTGTGAAGGATGCATTCTTGGGAAACAAACCAAGAAGCCATTTCCAATAGGGAAGGCCAAACGTGCGAGTACGGTATTGGAACTCATTCATGCCGATCTTTGTGGACCGATGAGAACAGATTCTTTATCTGGAAGCAAGTATTTCTTGTTGTTTATAGATGACTACAGTAGAATGAGTTGGGTCTAGTTTTTGCAATTTAAGTCTAAAGCGTTTCAGCATTTCAAGCGATTCAAAGCCTTGGTGGAAAAGCAAACGGGAGAAATCATAAAATCACTTCGAACTGATCATGGTGGGGAATTTCTCTCTACATAATTTACTAATTTTTGTGATGAACAGGGCATTAAAAGAGAACTCACAGCACCATACACACCGGAGCAAAATGGTGTGGTGGAACGAAAGAATCGAACGGTGGTCGAGATGGCTTGGTCGATGTTAAAAGCAAAAGGATTACCAAACTCTTTTTGGGTTGAAGGAGTTGCAACTGCTGTGTACCTTCTAAATATTTCTCCTACAAAAGCTGTTTGGGATCAAACACCATACGAGGCATTGAACGGAAGTAAACCCTCGGTAAGCCACTTGCGCATTTTTGGTTGCATTTGTTATGCATTACATACAGAGAAAATGCATAAGCTGGAAGAAAAGTCGAATAAATGCATTTTTATTGGATATTGCTCTAAATCGAAAGCTTATCGGCTCTATGATCCTCGAAGTGCGAAAATTGTTATAAGTAGAAATGTGGTGTTTGATGAGCAAGGCAACTGGCAATGGGGAGAAAAGTTGACCGAATCACGTGCTTGACTTGAATTAAATGAACCAGAAGTAGAGACGGTGAGCCCAACAACACATACCCCTCATGGTTCAGGCAGCTCGACACCAACAGCAGGTTCGACACCAACAGCGGGTGAGCCGTCAAGCTCGGACTCTTCATTATTAGAGACCTCTTCTGGCGATCTTTCTGATGACACTACTAATGACCCAAGTCAGTCACAAGACTTACATAGAAGTGAATGAGGCAGAATTCCACGACGACGATTCCCAATCGAAGGAGAGTCGCCATCTTCATTGGCATTGTTTGTTGGAGATCCATCAAATGTTGAAGAAGCTATGAGACAACAAGAATGGAAGGAAGCTATGGAAAGAGAGCTACAGTCCATCGAAAAAAATCAGACGTGGGAGTTGGTTAAACTTCCAGAAGGTAAAAATGTAATTGGCTTAAAATGGATTTTTAAAACAAAATTCTTAGCAGATGGCAGCATTCAGAAACGCAAAGCAAGACTGGTGGTAAGAGGTTACGCTAAAAAACGAGGAATAGACTATGATGAGACGTTCTCGCCGGTCGCTCGATTTGAAACAGTTCGTGTTATATTGGCACTTGCAGCTCAAAAACGATGGAAAGTATTCCAATTTGATGTCAAATCGGCATTTCTAAATGGTGACTTAGAAGAAGAAGTCTATGTGACCCAACCACCAGGATTCGAGAAAACAGACGAGGGAGACAAAGTGTACCGTCTCAAGAAAGCCCTTTATGGATTGAAGCAAGCGCCACGGGCGTGGTATGGCAAGATATTTGGGTTTTTTCACAAGAATGGATTCGAGAGAAGCATGCACGAGCCAACTTTATATCTCAAGAATCAAGGTGGAGATGATTTCATGATAATAAGCTTGTACGTTGATGATATGATCTATACGGGATCTTCATTAAATCTCATATCGGAATTCAAACAGTCCATGAAGAGCATGTTTGACATGACCGATCTCGTAGAATTAAAATATTTTCTGGGGCTAGAGGTGAGTCAAACAGATGTTGGAATATTCATGTCACAGAGGAAATATGTTAAAGACACACTGGAGAAGTTCAACATGCTAAATTGTAAGGTTGCCAGCACCCCAATGAACATAAATGAGAAGTTGAAGTCACATGATGAAACAGGAAGAGCGGATGCAAGCCTGTACAAAAGCTTAATTGGTAGACTCATTTATGTAACTCACTCTCGTCCAGATGTGAGCTTTGCTGTTGGGGTCTTATCTCGTTTCATGCACAATCCAAGTCAGCATCATTTTGGAGCAGTAAAAAGAGTCCTACGGTATCTTGCAGGGACGGTAAATTTCGGCATTTGGTATCGGAAAGTAGAAAAGTTTAGCCTCAAAGGCTATAGTGATAGTGATTGGGGTGGCTCGGCTGAAGATGGACGAAGCACAACGGGAAACTGTTTCATACTTGGGTCTGCTGCAGTCTCTTGGAGTTCAAAGAAACAAGCAACCGTGGCGCTCTCGACTACCGAAGCAGAATATGTGGCTGTAACAGCCACATCCTGTCAAGCAGTTTGGCTACGTAGACTCATGAGTGATATTGGAGTAAAGCAAAACAAGGCAACTGAGGTGATATGTGATAACGAGTCGGTTATCATGTTCGGAAGAAATCCGGTTTTTCACAGCCGGACCAAACATATTGATATCAAACACCACTTCATACGCTAACTTTTGTCGGTCGCCAGTCATGTGATTCGAACACCCGCTGTCAATGTACCATACTTTTTTTTTCCTTGTCAAGCAGTTTGGCTACGTAGACTCATGAGTGATATCGGAGTAAAGCAAAACAAGGCAACTGAGGTGATATGTGATAACGAGTCGGCTATCATGCTCGGAAGAAATCCGGTTTTTTACAGCCGGACCAAACATATTGATATCAAACACCACTTCATACGAGAACTTTTGGCTAAAGGAGAAGTTAAGCTAGAAAGTTGCAGAACAGAGGAACAAATTGCTGATTTGATGACAAAAAGCTTACCTTTCGCAAAACATGAATTTTTTTGCATTCAGTTGGGTTTATCAGAGTTTGAATGAAGGGAGAGTGTTAGAAATATTTACTAATTCAAACTCTTCTTAGTCAAACTTAGCTGTTAAATAAGACCAACAGATAGTGGCTCCTAGTCTTAAGCTTTTTGAGAGATTTTAGCTTTTTAGTTGTAGGTGGTTGCTTTCTCAGCCTATTTAAACAGGCTTCTGTTTCTTATTATATTGCATCAATAAAAATTAAGTTTCCAGCAATCTTGTTCTTCTTGCTATTTTCTCTTTATAATTTCCAACAGTATAGATCTAAAGATAATATCCATTTCTGTCCAAGCACTTCTCTTCCTTCCTTGACTTAGTGTCCAATATAGGATTATTGAATACATTTGACCAATATCCCTTATATATCTTTCTTCACCTTGAACCCATAAGCTTGCATTGATTGGGATTTTCATGATATGATCACTTAGTAAAATGAGCGTTCTAGGTGATAGACAATCTGTTGACGGTTGAGTTACTAGGGCTGTGCTCAATCCCATGTTTTGATAGGGCATCAGATGTGGTTGATGGAAGTGGATTAAATGGAATAGTTGACGAAAAAGATGTGTGGCCTGTAAAGAGGGCCAGCATGGCACATCACAGTCACACATGGCATGCAGCACTGAATCACAATAATCTTATTATTCAATAACTTGGACACCATTGCTGTAGATAGGGAAACATACTCCTTTGATACATGAATAGACCACAATGACCAGTTTGTTTAAATGACAAAATCACAAGTACCCGTATGGTTTTTTCTTCATATTCCTGCATATATCGGTGCATAAAGACAAGGCAGAACAAGTGTTTGTTTGGAAGTGATTACATGACATGACATGACATGGTTCACCATCATTGAAGACATATCATCACTTCTTCTCTAACCATATCAACTTACCTACAACATATTTAGGTGTTTTTGGTACGCAGGATAGGCCAGGATCTAAGTGGGACAAAAATGCATTTTTTTCTTTCACTCTTCCCTGTCCAGCCCGGTCTAGTCTTGCGTACCAAACACATCCTTAAGTTTTAGCCATGAAATTCTAGAGTAATTTGACATCAATGAGGCACTTGAACCGTGTTAACTTCTGCTTTACACCTCTATTGTCCTTGCCTATGAACAAATAATATGAAAACAAATAGGGGGCCTTTTCCATCAAGTGCTTAATGCTTATGTTATGTAAAATTACCATCCATTGGAACAAGTTCACTGTATGCATAAGCAGAATCCCAGTTACAAATTAAACCTATGGACAAGACGATGTTTGCTAAATTGTTTTCAATAAGTTTAGTTGTATAAGTATGATGCTGATTCAGTACTTTTAAATCAGATCTGAACGATGATGTATGATGACTTGTTGGAAGGCTGTGGACCTACTACAAGAATGCATGATAAGTAATGAACTCCAGAAGAAAGTCTGGATTTGCTTTCATTGTTTGTCTTTTTAATCATAATCATAATCATAATCATAGTCATATACCTGAACCTTTTAGGGTATGATATTATTCTACCGAATATTGGCCATCACTTTCGACTTTATTTCATCAGAGTTATAGCATTTTGGTTTTGGCCTGATTGAGGTTCATGAATGCATATATTTTTTGACATGGAGTTATGTTTGTTTAGGGCTGTGATTGGGCATGAAGCGGTTTTCATTCGAGTAAATTGTTTGTTGATTGTAGATGGATGATTTTGGCTGGATATTTTAATGGCAGTGACCGATGATTCTTGTCATTTGCATTTTTGAAAATGGGAACATGTTGTCGTCATATGAGGCTGTCGACTATTATTTCACTAAGACAATGTTGATATTTGAAGGTACATTTGTTGCACTATTAATGATTAGTCGTTTCTGCATCTACTTGAATGGCTGCTTCGTACTCTGAAACACACTTCAACTTGTGATCTTTCATTATATGGAATAAATATCGTGTAGAGGTCGTCAAACTGGTTAACTGATCGGTTCTTTGGACTGGTCCCAACCTCAAAGCCAATATAACCGGCCCTGGTCTCAAGGATGGAAAACAGTGCTTGAAGGAAAGGGGTCGGATTGGTCGCCTAACCGGTTGGTTTTTTAACTCTTCCTTTAGGTGTTTTATATATAACATATATTACTTACTTCTTTAATGACATTATATGTTTTTTTTTATACAAATATGCTAAAAATATAGATTTCTTTAATAACATATATATATATATATATATATATTAACTACTAGTTTTGGTTAGTAGATCCTTAACCGGTATTTTTAGAAAATTGCATAACTGGTTCGCATGTCACTGATTATGCATATTTAGGCATGGTCATATTTCAGCATATGCATCATTACTGTATTTTAACTCCAAAAATGATTAAAAAGTAGTGTTCTTAGTTGTAGGCATTGACTGATAAAACCTTCTTGTATAAAGAAAAGGCATAAAAGTAGCTTTAGTATCAATTTTGTAAAAAACCAAAAAAAAAAAAAACTAAAGCTCTTTTTTTCATCAGAATGAATCTTCATCAAGAAAATGCATATGTTATAGCAAAAATTCCTCACGTATGTAATATCAGGAAGAGGCAAAGATAATGGTACTGACATTTGTGTTTTTACTTAACGGGCTTAATGGCTTGGAAAGGATTTTTCTCAATATAAACTATATACTACAAATATAATAAAAAACTCATATATCTTTTTTGGTGAGGTGACGAAGATATAGGAGTTTATTTATTGTATTTGTTATATATAGATATTTTTTATTTAAAAAACAAATTAAACTCGTATAAACTATAAGACCTAAATCTTTTTCACGTACAAAACACTTACTGGGTCTCATTTACCTTACTGGATTAGCATGACAAGAATTAAGAATCTTACTCGATAAGAGACATGAAAAGGATCCAGAATCTTACCTGGTTAGTGTTTACCGGGTAACTGGTGTTTACTTTTGACTTGGCTTGTTTAGAAGTTTAACGAGCTTAATGGGACTCACAACTTATTTAGAAAACAAAACCCATCTCTATCGACTTCGATGCCCTGCATCCCCGAGAACAAAACCCTAATCGAACCCATCAACATCTTTGACTAGGCAAGAAGCTTCGGTTGGGTTTGATAGTTAGGTTTAATCGAACCCGTCAACATATTGAGTTTAGAAAGGCATTGTTGATGGATCAATGGAGCAATATTTGTTGATAGATCAATGTAGATGTTGAAGCTTATCTAATGAATGGTTGATGGATCAATGGAGATGTTGAAGCTTATATGATCAATGGAGCATTTCTATTATTTGATTTTGATTGAAAATTGGTGTAAATAAGAATTGGTTAAAACAAAAACAAAATTGAATTAAAAAAATTGAGTTGAAGTTATCTTTTGATTATGAGAGATGTACATCATTTGTACTCAAAAGGTAAAACAATTATTTCTATCATTTAAATCGTTGATTCAGAAAAAAAAAAAAATTTTTTTTAACAAAAACACTTTTATTCAGACAAATAAATTTATCTATACAAAACTTGATATAAAATTTGGTAAAACAACTCCTAAAAGAAGATTAATAGAAAATTTGATAAACAACCTCTAAAAAACTTACTAATCCTTTATTTAAATCATTGAGAATTGTTAAATTGAGAATGTTACCTAACAACGTATGTAAGGATCATGACTCTTACAAGTAAGCACTTACTAGATAAAGAAAACCAGATAACTCATTTGTTCGATCACTAAAAATAGATTCCTTGATCATTAAAAATACCTTAACTGAACAAGCCCATCTTATATTTGTTATCTCATTCAAAATGAGATGTACCAAAAAGAGCATTCATGTACTTTACATTACACCTTGTGCAATCCATTTTGTTTATATTTTGCTCATCATCTCCTACAGATGAACCAGTCAAAAATACGAACCCCTATTCCTCGACACTATAAGTAAAAAAGCAACAAAAGTTGACGTTCTACAAATCTATCATATACCACTCAACCAAACTGGGAAGGAACATTTCAACCAAAACATAGACCGAGTAAAAGAAACGATGTTGCACGGATTACTATTTACTAATAACAACACAATCTTACACATCTAATTAAATACTTAAATCAATGTAAACATAGACCAAGGGTATTCAAAAGATCTTTTTTTACAAAGTAACCACTTTGAAGGCCATTACACTTAGTTCTATTACATGTTAAAATTATATCAACAAGAAAGACTAAACTGACCCCTCCCAGCAGTTGTATACCCGAAACCCCTCGAGAAAATTTATACCTCACACCATGGTAGGAGAAAAGTCATTAAGATCCCGACTCATTCATTATTCAGCAACATTCACCAACTCGTACTCCACAAGAGACAAGTTGTTATCCTCCTTAACCGTAAAACTTGCAGGCTCAGTCACCTCAATGCGTCCCCATTTATCAACCGCTAGTCTCATCGACCCTTTGAACATGTCAATCTTTGCATTTCGGATTATCACAGTATTTCCAGGCTTCATCAAATCGACTGTGTTTATAGGTCCAATCAATCATTAGCATCAGGATAACCTCAAGGAATATGGTTCACTACAACAAAATCGGCTTTATATATGTCCAAATGTCCCAATAGACTTCTTTATAAGACTTAAGTTTATTGGACCAAACAATTGTAAGTCTTATGTAAAAGTTTTACAAGTTAATAAAACGTTTTTGGCATTCTATCCCTAACAAGTTCTTTTATGACACTTGTGAAATAAAATATGCTATTAGCGTTTTTATACAACACTTTTGAGAACACTCCTATGAACATACCTTTTTATTGAAACTAGTTTTAACAAGACACCTCTTCAAATAATGTCATATAAGAAGTTGCATTTCAAAAGTGGCCTAAAGAACTTATTAGAATGTTCAAAAGCGTCAAATTAACTTATTGCAACATTTTTACATAGATTGCATAATTTCTTAATCCTATAAATTGAAGTCTAATAAAACAGTTTACTAGAACATTTAGACATATTTGACATCATATAAAGCCAACTTCGTTAAAGTGGTAGTTTGGCAAAACGATTGTATCAATCGTGCTAAAACAGAAGATGTTAAATCGCTTTTTCAGAATGAGACCCAGCACACTACTAAAGGTTTGCAGCTTGGGTTGGGGTTATTTAAAGTGCAACAAGCAACTATATGAATGCACATTTGCTACTCTTCAATTGCCATTAAATGCTTGTTAGACCAAATAAAAAGGGGAACTTTTTGCTTGCTGGAGAACAAATTCTTTATCTTCACAAAAAAAAAATAGGAATCAGACCAAAGCACCAAACATTTTCATGCAATTTGCCCCTTTAATAAGATTGCAAAAGGTATTTTTCATAGTTATGCAAAGGTAAATGTCACATTTAGCACTCACACAGAAAGCACCCAAAGCATCATCCATCAACAATAGACGATTAACAAGTTTACAAAACCAGGTTTCATTACGTTTCTTATCCAGAAAAACAGCACTTGGTTTCCCTACAAAACATCGATGCCATTACACATAAACAAAAACAAAAGAAAATTTCTAAGTTTTTAGGACCCAAGAAAACTGCCAAAAAATTGGCTTTGCAAAACCAAAAGGGGCTAAATATCACATATACCTGAAAAATGCAAGAAGAAGAAGCAACGCAAAGTAGAAAATACACATGCACGTGTCCATTTTCATGTGCTCAAGTAATTGGCATCCACAATATTCAAAAAGGCACGAACCGAAAGTGCGAATCAGAAACTTGAGAGTATTATGAAGAAATTAACATACATAAATAAAACCTACCATACATGATAATCACATCACAACGAAATATAATAATCATGTATGAAATAAGTGCATATTATGAGAGAGAGAGAGACCTTGATCGTTACGAGCCGTAAAGAGAATGGTGCCGGTTTCATCGCCGATAAGGCACTCCGCGATGCGAGTGTTGGCAGCGCCGGGTCGGCTACTGAATGACGAAGAATTGCGTGATTTCTTGTCCAAAACGGTTGTCGAAGATAGAACCTTAACGGCGAGGGTATGGCCGTTGGTTCCAGGTTTCAGTTCACCCACCTTCACAAACACCGGCTTCCTCTTCACAACTCCTCTTCCTCCTTGCTCCGGTTGTTGATTTTCTACCTCCACTGCCGTCGTGTCATTGACAGTCGCCATCTCCGCCGTTGAATGAAGAAATCGAGGTTCAGTTGGTTGGTGATTGGGTCCCTAAATCGAAAAACCCTAACCCTAAAATCCTAAACTTGCGAGTGGCAGTCGAACCACTTTTTGTTGTCGTATTTTGGGGCTTTTAGGTTTGGTGTAGTTGCCATTTTGGGTACCCTAAGATTTGAAATATGTCAACTTTGTTCCTTATCATTTTGATTTAATCATTTTAGACCCCTATATTAACAATAAACTCCATTCTCTAAAACTTCGATTCTTAATGCTTGCAACATAAAGACATAAATAATAAATCGTGACGTCATACAATGCATGTGGCATTGTTTCTCTCGCAGTATTTTTATTTTATTTTTGAACGTATAATCTAGTATTAACGATCAATGTTTATTATTATTATTATTATTATTATTATTATTATTATTATTATTATTATTATTATTATTATTATTATTATTGAAGCTTTTTTTGTTTCATTTGGGTCCTTAGATTGAAAAAACGTTATCAACTTGTTAAAAACTTCAATTGAAATTGAAGGGTTGCTTGTTAGTTGGTGAATGATTTGGTGCAGAATGATTAAAATATTCTTATGATGTAGTGTACAATGAAATATAATTGTTTGATAATGAAATTAAAATGCTGAATGGTTAAGGTAGACCCAAGATACATAATCATTTAGAGGGTTTTAGAATCATTAAGAGACAGATTTTTGTTTCACCAAACAAGATTCATCTCTTAGCAGTGGTGGATTCAGAAACTTCTATTATTGGGGGCACATTTAAGAGTGTCAAAGAAAATTCTGAAACCAAATAACTCATTCGAACCAATACGATTTCGGGTTATTTGGTTTCCGGATTAAACGGTTCAATTATCGAATAAATATAACTTATTCGGTTTGATTTTTAATTAATTTTTGAGTATTTTGGATAAACCGAGACATCATATTGTCATGTACATATTTTACTTTTTGGTTAAATCAAAGCAAATGAACACACTGCACATTAATAGTTAGTAGCAAAAAATTAGAGGGCAAGAGGTCGATAACTTAGACTCAGTTAAAAAGAAATCAGATAGCAAAAGACCAAGAAATCAAAAATAAAAGACAAACTACTAGCAAACCTTAAATCAAAATAACAAACCCAAATTAAATAAAACAATTAAGAAAGAGAAAATTAATAATTAATAAATAACAATAATTATAAATCTATAAAACAATAAAATGCGAAAAGAAAGTTGGAAAAAATCAAAATAGTAATTAATCAAATCATTAGCATTATAGCAAACAAAATAAGAAAAATAAAATGATTTTCAACAGATTAAGACTTGGAACTTAAGGACATTTAATTGATCCTTAAAGTAATAACTTATTTAAGTAAGAGTTATAAATAAGATGCATAAATTTAGATTTGGAGCCTTATCTTTAATTGTTGGGGGCTTATTAATAATTTTTGGTTAAAAAAAATTAAAACCTACCACTCATGCTTTATTTGGATGTTAATTGGGGATTTGGGGTTAGCTTGTTGGGGGCCTGTGCCCCTACCCCTTTGGTGTGCATCCGCCACTGCCTCTTAGCGATTCAAATATTGCCTCTTAATGGAACTATTAATAGGTAAACAAACAGCCATTGAGTTAAAGGTTACTGTCCGTGTTGATGTGTATTGCATGTTATTCATTTTTGTGGACGTGTAAAAAATGGTTAATTGATTTTGTTAATATGAAACAACTAAATTTGGCATCGAAAAGAGAGGATAGAATTCTTTCACCACTATTGATGACAAGAACAATGTTAGGGGGCGTTTATCAAACACTTACCCAATAAGCGATTGCTAGTACAATTCAACACTATCACTTACTTACCGAGTAAGATTTTAGTTAACAAAAACGGCATCATATGTAACAATTTCCCCGGTAACCGGTAAGCGTTAACCATGGTAAGAGTCCTCATTCTTACTTACCGGGTAAGATTCTTGGTCATTTCCATATTAATGCGATAAGTTAATATGACTTGATAAACGCTTACGTGGATAAGTGTTTAGTAAACGGCCCCTTAAAGGATGATGAAGAGACTAGAATTCCTTTGGATTATACAGTTTCAACTTTGAAGAAAAGAAGTCAACTGAGTTTCGACCTCTTCAATTTCAAATGAATCTTCCATGTCCAGGAGCTGCTGCCTGCTAGGAGTGGCCATCACACAATACAGGACACCTCTACCAATTACCCCTTAATTGTCTCCAAATTTTTCAGTAAGTACCACCGCCACCACCAAAATTCAACACCCATTAACAAAAAAATCCAACAAATAACACAAGATCAACAGAATTTGAAATAATAGGTGGATTTTGAAACTGACAGAAGCAAGTGTCATAGTAAACAGTTGCAACAATAATGATGGAAATATGAACAACCAAGAGTATTGAGGTGACATCATGAGAATTGAATAGGAAGGTGTTGGTGAATTGTGGTTAAGTTTGAATATCCCACATCAGTGAGAGATTGAAAGATTAAAATAAAGAGGTGTGTATAAAAAAGAATGATGAGATTAATTGTGTCAACTCATGAGGTTTGACTCATAAGTTTATCTTACTTGGATGATCCTACTTTTACAAAACAGATCTTATTATATAAAAATAAAAATGAATTATGTTTACGATTATCATTATATATATATATATATATATAGATATAGATAGATAAGAACCAAGAGGTAATTAGGTGTATCATGAGAATTAAGTATTGATGTGTTGGTGAATTGTGGTTAAGTTTGAAATATCTCACTTTGATGAGAGATTGAATATATATATATATATATATATATATATAATATTCGGGTTTCAAGTTTTGATTTAAGATTTCGGAATATATATTTATATATATATATATATATATATATATAATAATAAATATATATATATATATATATATAATATATATATATGTGTGTGTGTTAGAGTTGTGTGTGTGTTGGTGGTTTTGTGATGAAGGGCGGGCGTATGCACTTGCTATAAATAGCAAGTGCATGTGAAGGGTAAGGTTGTTGAATTTCAAGAGAGCAAAGAGAAAATCAATTGAGAGTGAAGGCTGGTAAATCGCAGGCTTGTATCCGATTAACTTTATAAGGTGAGTGTTTTATGCTTTGAGGTTTGCATACAATTCATTGCTATTTGAGCTGCCTTACAATAAATCTTGAAATATACACTCTGCGGATTCAACTTTTAAGCCGGACAAGTGATGTCCGGAGATTTATCTAAACCGGACAAGAGGTGTCCGGGATTTTCCTAAACCGGACAAGAGGTGTCCGGGGTTCAACCTAAACCGCTCACGTCTGATATAGTCTTAAACCGTCCAAGTGCTATCCGGTTTAGAGCTATACCGCTCAAGCTTTGTCCGGATTTGTCCTAAACCGCCTAAGAGGCAATCGGATGTCTTCTAAATCGCTAAAGTATCAAACGAGGTTCAACCTAAACCGCTCAAAGGACATCCGACTTAAATTAAATCGCCCAAGTGTTATTCGGGGTAACTTAGAAACTTAAAGCATCATGTGTTGTCCGGATTAGATATCCGGACAATGTTGTCCGGATTACATCTCCGGATGGTTGTCCGGATTTCATATCCGGTTGATCTTGTTATTATTCCACTTCTGAGAAAGAGATGTAATGGCGGTGTAACAGTGAGAGAGATGTAATGGTGGTGTAACCGCGAGAGTGATGTAATGGCGGTGTAACCGCGAGAGAGTTGTAATGGCGGTGTAACCGCGAGAGAGATGTAATGGCGGTGTAACCGTGAGAATGATGGAATGGCGGTGTAACCGCGAGAGAGATGTAATGGCGGTGTAGCCGCGAGAGAGATGCAATGGCGGTGTAACCGCAAGAGAGATGCAATGGCGGTGTAACCGCGAGAGAGATGTAAGGGCGGTGTAACCACGAGAGTGATGTAACGGCGGTGTAACCACGAGAGTGATGTAACGGTGGTGTAACCGCGAGAGAGAGGAAATGATGGTATAACCGCGAGAGGAAAAGATTCTATAATAAGTTGTAGATAAAATGTTGTATATATACATGTTTGATTCTAAACTGCTAGTTTGGAAAGACAATAGAAACGCGAAGTCGTAGCAGGGGTCGAGGAAGAGGTAGAGGTAATAGACAAGAAACTCATATAGAATAGGAATTGTCGGCCCAGGAAAGTTCAATGTCTGGCCGTGGAAGAGGAAGGGCAAGGGGTGGACACAATGTTCCTGATCCCAGATTTATTACTCAGGAAATGCTGGCAGTTGAGTTGGGAAAATTCCAAGAGAGCTTGGTAAATTTGTTGGGACGTTCGGTTCCAAATAACCCAGAAATTTTAAGGGATCCTGAACAGCAGGAAGAAGCCTGGAGCTAGTACACCGGTAACTGGTACATCTGTACCCCTTACTTCGTCTTCTATTTATAAAGGATGGGTATCAAAATGTTTCTTACCTGTAAACCTCCTAAATTTTCTGGTGAACGTGACCCTGTTAAAGCCATGTGTTGGCTTAAAGAGATAGAGTTGAGTTTGCAAATTAGTAAGAGTGCATAAGAGGACAAAGTCATGTTTGCTGTATCCCGATTGAGGTCAAGTGCTTTGTACTGGTGGAAAGTTCTGTCAAGTTCAGATCCAAACATTTTGAAAACCATGTTGTGGGAAGAATTTGTGATCAAGTTTAAAATGTAGTATTGTCCTGAAGTTGCAGTACGAAAGTTAGAAGATGATTTTCTTCGTCTTGAACAAGGAAACATGTCAGTCCGCCAGTATACAAAAGTTTTTATGAAACAATCTCGGTTTGCTGAAGCCTATATCATATCTAAAAACAGTAAGGTGAGAAAGTATATCTGGGGTTTGGAGTCAAATCTTCGGAAGTATGTGATATCCAAGAATCGGACAACATTTCAAGCAGCAATTGATGCTGCTGAAATACTGGAACAAGACATTAACCAGCAACCACAAGAAAAGGTTGGAGAGAAAAGAAAGGGGGAAGCTACAATTATTGATTTTCGTAGACCGAGGTTTATATAAAATTTGAATCGACCAGTCTCAAGATTTGATAATAAGGCATGTACACGATGTCATAAAATACAT